CTGTTGATAGTTCTGTGGGAAAGAAATTCTTCCATTAAAAGTTAAAATGTCAGCACTCTGTCTTCCCAATGCCTAGCTTGGTTCATTATGGCAGCACAAAGGAAGGGCTACAGACTAGTTTATTTCTTCTGCTTGATTTGAAAGTACTAGAATTAATGGTGCATGTGGTGACATGGGCTCCTTGTGGAGATACAGAGGAGATGTAGGGTTGAAATTTAAAAAGGTGACAGGTTTTAAAATGCGTTCTCTACCGTCAGGGCTAAGACACTTTCAGCAGCAGTTCAGAGTTTTACATGTACTTTGTTTTGTAAAATGTTCTGTTGACAATAAAGGAAAAAGAGTTAAAAGTCGCTGGTGGAAAGTTGCTGCCAAGGAGATTTAACTGGCCAGGAGATCGACTATGGCTTGCTGCCATGGATGTTTAGACATACAAGAAGGTGATGAAAGATGTAGAGCCACTGCAGCCCAAAGTGTTTCACAAAGGAGAAAAGCATAGCAGAAAACTTTATTTGGAGATTTTTAATAGTGTTCTCCTTCTCTGGCCCTTCCCTATAGTTTTTTTTGGTTTTTTTTTTTACAGCTGGGAGGCCCTCATTTTAAGAATGGTTAAGTGGAATATGTTACATGTCTTCCTCTATTGCCTTTTGCTCTCATTGTCCGAAGTACTCTGTGAAATTATCACATTTTGATGCTAATAATAGAAATAAATAGTCTGGGAAGCACTTATCAGTTCTATGTTTCTTCTGCCCCTAATTTTTTTGTTTCCTTTGAGTGTCAGTCATAGAAACATCCCCTGACCACAGAGCTGTCATTTAAGCAGCAGAGTCCCTGTGCCTTGTGTGATTATACCACAAAAACAGTATTTTCAACAGGACAGCACACACAAGAAATCAAGAGAAACCTCTCTAAGCTGAGAAGATCTAAGCCATCAATAGATGCTGAGACGGGATTAAAATGACCAGGAGTTTGACTGCTGTTTGCAAGGCTTGCATTCTCAGTAATAAGACCCCTTTCCTGTCTGTGCACCCCCATAGATGGAGCCCTCAAGTCACCAGATACATCTTGCACAGAGGTGAAGAGGGTGCTCCTGAAGGAGCAGGACAAAATCAAAGCTCTTCAGTCTTGCTTGGCCTCCATGGAGAACATTCTGCTGCCCTGGAATAAAGCTCTGCACAGGGAAGTAGGAGGGTCAGCTCAATATGTGACAAAATGCCATGGTGTAGGAGGAGCTGGGGACAACTCTCAGTGCTGCCACTGAGGAGAGCCCTGTGTTAGCTGGCTGTGCTGTTCCTCCTCAGCAGACAAACTACAGCTCTGGGCAGCAAAACAAGAGATATTCTTTGCGTCTGGATGTATGAAAGCAGATACATAAGAGGAATAGAATGAGAGGAGGAGATCATGTTTTTTCAGTGTCAATGAAAAAAGAGTCACTGAAATATGGGTAGGGAAAAGTAGAGTGAGAGGTGAAGCTGTGTGGGCTGAATACACTGAAACACCTGTGACCATAAATGTGCAAATGGAGCCCAGGTTCATGCTTGATTTCACAGACTTTTAAAGAAAAAAATAAATTGTATTTGGAGGTGAGGTGACTGTTGATAGTAAGCAGATTCCACAATACATTCCTTTTGCCTCACAGATCATGGGTGGTGGTTTATATCCGATATTCCATTAACTTTGTCCAGTCACATAACAGTTCCTTCAAACGAGTGGGGACTTAAGGTGGTAAATAGCCACTATGGGTTTGTCTCCAGGGTTCCTTACAGGTCCTTCCCAGATTTTCATCAAAACAATTTCCAGGCTGATTCCCTTAGACACTGCATCTGCTTGATTCCAGCATAAATGCAACAGCAACAGATGATTCACAGATTCCGGCCCTTTTTCCTGAGGATCTACAAGACCATGATTGTTTATCTGTGAATTGAGATTTTCTGTATGTTGATAAGGAAAATAAAGCTGCAATAAACCTATTTTAAATTGTTTTTTAAGTCATCTTCAAACATATTTTCTTTTTTTCCCAGTGGATTTGTTGTGCAAATAATGCAAGGACCTTTTAGAAAAAGATGCTGGCCACTTCCAGAAGAATACAACACTATATTTTTTATGCTAACATTCACCTATCTTTTCCTTTCCAAAAACAACATGGATATTATCCAGTGTCCATAAATAACTTATGTCATGTCTTTATTATTATGTTTTGCTGTATCTTCCCATATTCTGTGAAACTCTGAGTTTATAAAACAGAGAAGATCTCCTATCACTCAGCTCTGTAACATCTTGATTTCCTATATATATTTTTCAGGTCACATTTGAAAGTGTTATTTTTAAAATTATTTTTGTTGTCAATGAAGCCATTGAAACAGATACTGAAAACTCTTGATACAGCAACCTAGTAGATATCTACTTAATGTCCTGCCCTACAATTCATCCCTTTGACTTCCATGGACACCTCCCCACCAACTCTACTGTACTGTGAGAAAAGCAGATCCCTCAAACCAAGTGGCAAATTCTTCTGACTTCAAGTGGCCAGTGGGGTTCAGAGGCTGTGTAAAGTATATAAATGCCCCTTGAACACAGCTCAGTGCAGAATTGGGTCCTCTAATCTTAAAAGCTTTTTTTTATTTTCACAATCTATACAGAAAGGACTGTCTAAAGAAAAGTAATAAAGTTTTATTAGCGTGACTGAGCAAATGTCTGAGCTACTGGTCTGTGGCAAAGGCCTGGAGGCATCCAGGCAGGTCACCCAGAACATGAACCATCTCCCAGCAGAATCTAAAGGGTATGGTGTATATATAGCAGATGGTGGTAGGAAAAGGCAGCTCTTTGCAAAGATACTTAAATTATGCTAAGGGCAGCTTTCACTGCCTTGCTACCAAGGTACCAGAGCACAAAAGAGTCTGGAAGCTAACCAGTAAGTTTCTGACTTCCCAGACAATTATTTGTAACTGCTGTTCCATGAGCAGTAGTACCTTGGTGTTAGGAGCCGTGCCATCTGCCAGAAGATCACCTACAAAGGTGGGAATCTCCATTTCCATTTGCACAGAGCCTTCAGTCCTGGCTTTGTAGCACATTGTGACTCCAAGGAAAGGACACTGTATTGCCCTGCTGCCTGAGTCACCCACAGGGATGGGGAAGGCTGTGAGGACAGGCAGAAAAGCATTCTGGAGATGGAGTCAGTGAAAAATCTGTCTTTGGAGAAGGAACATTTGCTGAGAGCTCATGATAATGTGAGAGCTTTGCTTGTCCAGCCCCTATGGCAGCAGCAGTTTGGAAGTGTCAGGAGTTGACAGTGTCCACACTTGACCATGCGGACACTGATAAGTGGGACAGGGTTCAGATGAGGCTTCAAAAATGCCTAGTGATGAAATGTAATTTCACACAGCTAGAACTGTCACACTACCATAAATCCCTTATATATCTATTTCTATTTAAATATGTGTACAGGCATGCTCACATGTCCCATTAAAATGTGCTGTTGGATTCATAAAAGCATGAGCCATACCATAAGTCCTTAGCTGGCCTCGCAGCAAATACAATTTCTTTTAACTATAAAATTTTGAATTTACTTTGACTTTTTCTTCATTAAGTGATCCTAAGTTATACACATATATTTGGTACCATAATTAATCCCAAGGATAAAATTTAATATTAGAAATAGCCTAATGGCTCCCAAATCCAAGGTTTCAGGCTGCATTGCACAAACATACCTGCTCCTGCCCATGTGCCTCTGCACCTTGCCCAGGAAAATAAAAATTTGAAGACTAACTCAAATAACAATTGGACATACTCCATATGCTATTCTTTACCTACCAATCTGCATGTTTATTCAGAGAAAAGACATTTCTTGAGCACCTGCACAAACCAAAACCCCACCCACACAGAAGTTACAAACATGTAACAGAAGATACACATTGAGCAGTTAAGAAAAACAGCCTAGCTGATCTTGAAACTGGAACTTGAATTAGAATCACAGAATCATTTAGGTTGGAAAAGACCACTAAGATCATTGAGTTCAACAGAATTGCCTCAATCTTTACCAAAAAAAGAGCCCTGATTTTGGGTAAGAGTGCACCTTTGTGGTTCTCTGCATCGCTTGGGCTGCAGAAGATAGAAAGGGGACTAAACCTAGTTTAAAATAGCTGTTTTCTGCATTTGAATAGCCAGATCTCAAACATGCTGTGTTTGGCCTTCATTTTAAATCTTACACAAGGGTCCAAATTAGATGTGATCACAGCTGTCTATATATTCCAGCTTATTTCAAGTGCAACAGGCTCTTACCGCTTTGTCCTTTCATAAAACTCTCAAAAGAGTCTTCATTTCACTGTCAAATTTAGATTTAGGTTCTTTCAAGTAAAAGGCATTCCTCTCTCAGCACAACTCCTTTAGTAACAACCAAGTTTACTGATTCACTTGACTCTTGTCCCAGGACGGCTTCCTGATCATATCTTGAAGATGCACATTTCCAATGCTACTCTTTAGTGACTCAAGAGCACTTATGTCCTAAACCAAGTCTGCCTTTATATTTAATTTCCTTTGCATCCAAATTCCTGCTAAGTGTGATGGCATGCACAGTCCATGTTCCAAGGGCTCTCTATTCTGACCGTACACTAAGGATAACTCAAGATTTTAATTCTGGTCCTCTCTCTATACTAGAGCTTTTATACATGATGTCAGAATTTGGCACACTTCAGATTAGCAAAATGAAATGAGGTAAGTCTAAAGCTTTGGAATCCAGAACTTCACACAGGTCAGAACAAAACAGGGGAGGTATTGATGGTGTTCAGGGTTCAGACTGAACACAGGTCTCCTGAATACACTCAGACACATCAAAGTTGGAACACCAACAGAAGTCACTCATAAACTGTGGTATTAATTTGAAAGTTATTTAATATCAGCACATGGGAAAACTTCTCTGCAAGCTACAGGCAATTATTTCCTCAAATCTTATACTTAGCTTCTTACGAGCAGATATCTGAGATAACAGGACAATGGTTTGTACTCACCATCAACAGCAGGCACAGATTGATTCAGGCCCTCAGTAACCCTTGGCTGTGGTGAGATACAGAAACACAAGAGCTTCTTTCTCCTGGATGCCTTCAGAACATGTCTGGCACACGTATCTCTGGGCATAAACCCAGCCCCATTTCCATTCATTTGTAGTACAAAAGAGGAGAAATATTAGAGCACGTCCAGAGGAGGGTGACCAGGAGTGGTGAAAGGCCTTGAGTGCCAGACTCAGAGGAGTGGCTGAGGTCACTTGGTTTGTTCAGCTGGGAGAAGACAAGGCTGAGGAGTGACCTTGGCACAGTCCAAAACTTCCTCAAGGGATCAGCAGAGGGGGAGGTGCTGATCTCCTCTTTCTGCTGCTCAGCTATAGGACACAAGGAAATGGAATGAAGCTGTCAGGGAAGTTCAGATTAGGAAAAGTTTCTTCATTGAGAGGGTGCATTATCATCTTACTGCAAAGGTCCCATACCTTCCCAGTGATTTCTCATGGGCACCTCCTCACATCACAGACTCCTCCTTCACATAACACCAACAAACTACATCTCTTCTCATCACCCAGCTAACCCACTCTTTTGTAGCACTCTTCTTCTTATTGGACACAGCTGTGGCCTATTAAGGGCAGGCCTGTTCCTAATCTTTGGTGATTGGTACAGCTGCAACTCCTCCGGTGTGAGATTACCTTCTGCACTATTCTCTTACATTCTATCCCTCCACAAGGGTGGTCAGGCCCTGGAACAGGGTCCCCAGTAGTTAGAGCAGCAAGCCTGCCAAAGGTCAAGCAGTGTCTGTTCTTGGTCATATGGGTTGGTTTTAGGTAGTCCTGCAAGGCGCAGGGAGCTGCAGTTGGTGATCCTTATGGGTCCCTTCCAGTGTGAGATGTCTCTGTGATACATCTGAAATGGTGACTGCAAAATCCAGCCTGCAAAGAGAAATTCCTTCTATTCCTTTGGCCATTTTAAGTTGGTCTTGAGTACTCAGTATGAAATGCCAAAGTCTTTTAGGGTGAGGAGAATCAGCTTAAGGATTGGAAATGAAACTACATTGGGGGGTATAAACCACTCTACATGGTCCCTCCTTGGTGTGCTCAACATTTGAAATGCTGTGGGGGAAGATCTAACTCCATACACTCTGCACAAAAGTCCCTGGACTGCCTCTCTGTCAGAGGTCTGAATTAAATTTGGGCAGAATTTGAAGGATCTTAAGCTCATGGGGAAACATCCAGTTTACTGTGGTTTGAAGTAGAGTTTAAATTTTATGTGTGTATCAGATTCCTCACTTGTATCATGTACGTATTTGTTATCTAAGATAAACACAAGGCCATTCCAGCTCACTGGGAAAAAAAAAACATTTAATTTGAAAACAACTTTTGGAAAAAGTCAAATAAAAATATAAAACATTTGGATTTATTTATGTAGTTCTTTCTGAACATAAACATTCAACACTTTTAATTACTACAGAATCCTTATAAATCTAGAGGACTTCCATACATTTTAACAAAACTGTCTTCATCAGTCTGGAAGATTATGACTATTGGCAGCAAAGCTTATTCTAACCCAGCCTTCAGAGATTTTAATTATGAGCAAATCCTTTATGTGCATGCATTGGGGTGTTCAGCTCTGCTTTGGATATCTGTGTCTTCCTTTTTATTGCCCTCTCAACTATAGTGGACATAAATAAAAACATGAAGCATTTAACATGAAAAATTTTCCTTTCTAGAATATTTTGTTACATTTTTCACTTCTTACTTAGACTTTCAGTTTTTATCTAGAAGCTGCTTGTTGATGTATAAGACACAATTTTCTTATTCTATTAAAAATGTTCTACTACATATACAACATCCTGCATTTCCCTTACCAAGCAAGGATGCCAGCTTTTTAATCTAAATATTACCCCTTCATTTATTTATATATGACAGCTCTTTGTGGAAACTTCTTTTCACATTGAATTACATAGAATTCATACATTCACATAGAATTAGTCTGCTGCTTATTTGCTGTACATGCAGCACCCAACAGGTACTGATTTCTTTTGCGAGGATAAAAGGACCAGAGTCTGCTTTAGAAAGCCTAAACCCAAGGAGAAACACAAATGGAAAGAAAGGAAATGGGACATGAAAATCTTAACTTGCTGCTGCTCACTCAAGAGGCTTCACTTTTGATTTTTTCATCTGGAAATGTGGCTGAAGCAGTCATGCTGCCTGTGAGTGCATTCTGGGAGGTGTTTCACTAAAAATTTTTGAACCCTGGCCAAAGGGAGATGCCCAGACTTCAGCTCAGAGCACATAACACAAGTGGCTGAACACCCTCTGAGATGTTTAGGGTGTACATGTGTGAGGGCAGGCACAGACATGAGGGACCAAGTGTCATATGGGACAAGAGGCCAGGACAAGACCTTGGCAGGGAAGGAGAATGCTACAGGAATGATTGAGGAAGAGGCAGGTGAGAGACAGAAAATAAATTCTCTGCTCTTTTAACTCCTCAAATAGCAACTGTGCTTTCAGCAAGACATAAATTGACCCCAAACTTACAGTGATTTTGCAAGTAAAAGATAACTTTTTAATGAATTGCACAGTGAATGAGAGAGAAATAAGCACTCTCTATAATGATGATGTGTATTTGGTAATGCCCTCCTGCTGTCTAAATAAAGGGAAGGCAGAGTGTTGTGGTGTTCTGGCAGTGCTACTGGAATTGGATTATCTCCCTTCCTCCACTTGGCATCACAGAACAGTCACTCTTAATTGTACCTTCTATCTGATTATTAACTGATTGTGATCATGCTCCATCTCCTCCCTTATCTGCTTTCCATCTTCTGCATTGCTTCTCTGTAATTGCAACTGACCTGCCTCCAGACCCCAAATGATTTCCTATTGTCCTTGAGTGCAACAGACTGTTTGGGGGATGTTTGGCTCCACGCATCATAGTGCTGCTCACCTCTTTCCTGAAACTGACTTTGTTGCAATCCAGCACTGGCCAAGAGCAGAAGCAGTTCCTACAAGCACTGGTGATAGTGGATGAGGTTTCTGAACCAGCACAATCTTCATGTGGTGGCAGTCCTCATACAGCTGAGCAGGCCCAACAGCAAAGTTTCTGTGAGCTACAGATTGGGAATCATTGCCCTGTCTGTCCTCAACAGGGCAAATACAAAAATGTAGTGGTGGCTGCCAGCCCACAGATGTTATTTGAAGCAATGATTTTGAATTGTGGTCCAGAGGCTCTGGCACAGTGTAAGCAGTGCATGCCATAGGTTACGAAATGCACTCTTAAGAAAGGCTTCATATATGCAGTTATTGTCTTCTAAAAACCCTCACATCAACCCTCCACACAGCCAGACAGGAATCGCCTCAACGTCATTGAAGTAAATACTTTTCTCTTTTAAAATCCTAGGAGACAGACGGCTCTTCTTGCCAGGAAAATCATTAGGCCATCACTTGGAGCAGAGTAAAGGAATAAATGAAAGAGATAATAAATCCCTCTATTCATATTACAGTTCATGAAAGGGGAAAAACTGGCAAGCACCTGCCATGTAAGAAACTGGTCTGGAAGTTGGGAAACAAGAAAATAAAATTAATATTTCTTATTAGATCACTAAATACCCTGTGGCAGCCAGCTTTGAGTTGCAGTGCTGAGTACAGCAATGCCAGAAATTTCAGACAGAGAAACTGAATACCAAGTCTGTATTGCTGCTATCAATTACTTTGCCTTCATTTATAAATAATGCTGGCTTGCTTAGGTTGCCAGTTAGAAGATCTAAGACTATCTAGGGTGATATCTCATTCCTTTAGAAAACCTTAGTTTAATACATTGTATGCTTTAAAGGGCATCACTGAAGGAAAGAGGCTCCAAGGCCTCAAAGCAAGAATCAGCTGCATGGAAAAAATTAGTCTTCATCCTGTATCAGAAGAAACCTGAGATCTTCTGCCCTTTTTCCTGGGTGAAAACAGAGATACCTACTCCCCAGAATGCCAGTCACTGAGAAGCTGAGCTCACTTGCAGAAATGCTCTGGTCTTTTGGACCCTGGTTCCAGACTCACATTGACAGAACTGAGAAATCAAACCCATGCATTCTAAGACGAGACAGACCCTGAGACTGTGGGTAGGACTGTGTGGTACACCAGCCTCTGCACAGGCACACCCACACATTGCAGGGGTGGTGGGCTTGGGTTAGGTGAGGTAAATAAAGTACTGGGATTTGCATGTGCAGCTATAAATGAAACTCCTCCATGCAGATGATCTGCCTGTTGAAACCTGGGAGAGATTTGGCCCCTTTAAATTTGAGGTCCCACTAAATAATATGGTTACCAAAATTGACATCAGAGGCCTCAAAGTCATGTTTTTGTAGGTCTCTATGTTATGAATAATTGTTAGACCCTTTGCTTTTGCAGGCTATTAGCTGGTATTCAGATAACATATCTGTTAATTCAACATCTAAAGGTCTAGCCTCATGTGATAACTGTCTTCAAGGCAGGGATGTTCTTCCACTCCTTTAAGTGGGAGTTGCCTGGGAAGGCTCTGATTTTAATCAATGAATGCATTGAGGTTTCTTAAATGAGGTTATTTTTCTCCTTTTTGTTCTCTCCAGGGGATTTTTATCCTTGGTTCTCCTGAAGCTGGAACCTATGGAGTTGTGCTGCCTATCAACTCCCTGTAAGAGCACTTGAACCCACTGGCCAAACGTAATCAGACTTTGCAGAGAGTTGGCAGTCTCAAGGATAACATATCTGGGGAAAAAGAAACTGGACAATAAAGGGAGAGGGAGTAAATTCATTCACTGCAGAAGGGTTTCAAGGAGAGGTCAATCACACTGGGAAGCACCAGAGATGTTTAACAGGGAGAGAAACATGGGAAGCAGCCACTGCTGACTCTGCTCACCATGGAGCAGCTTGTCTGAGGAGTGTTAGCTTCAAAAACCCAGATGGACATTCACAGACAACATCAAATCTGCACGTAGATGAACTTCCTGTCCTTCCAATCAGTTCACAAACAGCTGGGTGTCCTGGAACAGTCCAGCTTACTTGTCTTTTATCTGCAAAATCAGTTTTGATCTTCTGTGAACAACTTTAATAGACAGAATTCAGAAGGCAACCCTGGCACTAATCCCTACAAGAATCAATTGCTGAGATCTTACAACCAAGCGCTTCCAGAAAAGAAATAACTAGTAAAAAGTCAGTTTGCTTCCTCTTTTGTCATGGATTGTGCTTCTCAGTTTATCCCACTATAAAGAAGAGGATGGTTTTTCTTCTCTACACAGTCCATATAGTATATGTTGAGGAAAAGTGATGGCATAATGGATGTTTTCCTGAAAAGAAAGCAAATATGCTGATTTGTGACACAATATTTCATCAATGTCCTGAAAAAAAAATGTAAC